TTCCTAAACTCTGATAGACTTGGTTTCTTTCCTTCTTTCTGTCTACAGTTATCTTTTTTTTTCCTGGCAAATGCAGCACATCTCTCCTCTTCAGTTTCTCGGAATTCAGAACCAGCTTGTCCAGAGCATTAAAAACCCTTCTGTAATCTTCATTTCCGTAGCACCGAGTTTCGGGATTATTCCCAGCAAGACTGGCCCCTGGAGACGAACAAGGAAGGGACTTTGTCCTCTGGTCGCCTTGGCCAGGCTGGAAGGTGCTTAGAGCCTCCAGTTCTGACACCACCCTGGGTTTCCCATAGATGTGCAGACCTGGAGGTAGCCCCGATTCTTCGGAATGGTTTGCACCTAATCAAATATTCCTGCACGTGTGTCAAGGAAAGTGGCCCTTTTTGCTTCCTGTTCGTTTGTTTCTCTCCACTCTAAGCAGTTTTTTTCAAAAGCTCTCCTTTGGCTGTGGAATGCTCCGCTCCTGCCACGACCCGCTTCTTTAGCAAATCTGCGACAGGTTGACCTGTGAGTTTCTTTTGTCCAGAGTGAATTTGTGCTGTGCTTCTTTTCTTCTCCTTTTCAGTTTTAATTCTAACCATTCACTCTTTTCACGGGCGCACAGGCTCCCCGTGCTCCCCCTCCCCGTCTTTTCTAGCCTCTTCTTTGCGCTCGCCCCTCCTCCTCAAAGACTTTAACCTTACTTGTTTTGTTTGGTTTTGTTTGTTATGAGACTGGGTCTTACTATGCTGCCGAGGCTAGCCTCCAACTCCTAGCTGCCTCAGCCTCTCCAGAACCTGGGAATCCAGGTTCAAGCCTTACGTTCCAACACCAGCACTTTTTACATTTTTACCCTCCCCCGAGCGCTTGGGTGAATTAGCATATTTGTGCCCTTCAAAAATAAGGCAAGGCCCTCCGTTAGTTTTCGGTTCTCCTCCGCCCCCGCCTGGTCTCGCAGCCACCACCCCCATTAGTCATGAGTTCTGCTTCACCTTCATTTGATTTTACTTTATGCAGCGCCAGTGCTGCCCTCCTCAGCCACCCGGCTTGGCTTGCTGCTTTGCTCTAATACGGTGTGCTCTCTTGGAATTTGTCTCTCCTAAAATATACACTAAAATGAACTGTTTCTTCAGAAAGAAACCTGAAAATTTTTCCTTGCCTTCATGACACCACTTTGTTGACTCTTGAACAGCAAGAAAAACAATCTTTTTTAAAAATAACTTTTAAAAATTATGATTTTGGGGGGAGGGGTGAATGCATGCCATGGCACAGGTGTGCAGGGTTAGACCACAGCTTTCAGGAGTTCGTTCTTTCTCACCACTTGGGTCTGGGGACAGAACTCACGTCATTAGGCTTTCGAGGCAAGTGCTTTGCCATCTCTCTGGCCCCCAAATATTTGTCTGTGATTATGGTTCATTCGTATTTTCCTGAGGTACTGTCAAGGCAGGGGGGGAGAGAGAGAGAGAGAGAGAGAGAGAGAGAGAGAGAGAGAGCAGACTCAAGGTGTGGAGGTCAGAGGAAAGCTTCCTGGGGTTGGTTCCCTCTTTCTGCTGTGGAATCCAAGAATTGAACTCACACTAGCAGACTTATGCAAATACTTTAACTTGCTAAGCCTTCTCACCAGCCCCCTCACTGTGTGCTTAGAATTCAGGGACCCTGCTGAGAAATTGCTCACCAATCTGACCTTTGTACCACAGAAATCAGTCTGTTGTTTGTTTCCTTCTAGAAGCTTCTATAGGATTCTCTTTTCATTCTTGAAAGACTGAAAGTTCAGAGTAGCATATGAGTGGGCATAGCATTACCAAAAGGGAACCTTGGGCGTTTAGCTTGGTCTCTTTCCCCTACTGCAGAGCCTGACTGAGCCCCCCTTGAATAATTGTCCTTGCTCTTGTCCTTTCCGTGATGGACTGCTGTCTCCTTTAAAGCCCTAGAACATTTCCAGTTGTATTTATTTGGTTACACATCGAAAATCCCAGAATAACAGTGGCTTAGTCCCATGGGAATTTGTTTCTCCCCTCACTTAAGAAACATCTAGAAACAGTAAATCTCAGGATTGGCATAATGACTCCAAAGTGACAAGAGGAAGCCTGGTTCCTGACTTCCTGTTACACCATCTTTGCCTGTGGCCTCTATCCTTAAGGTAACCTGATAGTCCAGATGGCTGCTGGAATTCCAGCTATCACTTCTGAGATATAGGAGACAGGAGGTGTGTGTGGTGGGGGAGGCAGCAAGAGAAGAAGAAAGAAGGGAGGGAAGGAGGGAGGAAGGGAAGGAAGGCAAAAAATAGACCTCTTCCCACACAAATGGATTTTTAAAATATTTTATTTGTTATTTTTACTTTATGTATGAGTGTATTGTCTGCATGTGTGTAAGCGCACTCATGTTGTGCAGTGCCCATGGAGGTCAGAAGAGGGCATCAGATCCCCTGGAACCGGAGTTATGGATGGTTGTTAGCTGCCATGTGGGTGCTGGGAACTGAACCTGGGTCCTCTGCAAGAGCTGCCAGTGCTCTTTACTGTTGAGCCATCTCTCCAGCCCCACAAATGGATGTTTGAACAGCCATTTCGGGAAGATACACAGAGGGCTTCCACTCACATCTCCTTGGACAACATTTAGTCATGTGACCATGCCTAGTGGTAGGAGAGGGTAAGTTTTATTCTTCATGTTCTATAGAAGCCCAGCTAAGACTCAGGCTTCTGTCACCAAGAAGGAACGGGACAGTGGGCTGCCGGCACTGTTTGCCGTATGCACCCTCCTTTCTTTGTTCTCGGCCTTGAGTCTCTTTTTCAGTGTTTTCTTGATGTGCTGGAATGTTCCTTCTCTTGTCCGTGTTCTCAGCTTTACACATCTACCTGAGTCAGATGGTTGTTTGTGGTGTTGGTTCTGTGATTTGACCCATTATTGAGTTGATTTTTTTTAACTGAATGTTTGTGAATTTCATATAATATATTCTGACAGTTTTTTTTTTTTAATCTAGCTTTTGGCTTCTTGGCTTATTTTTCTAACAGTAGTCTGAGTCTAAATGGCTCTTGGCTCCGCAGTCACCCTGGAGATTCAGGTTCACAAGCTTCAAGTTTTTCTCTCTTTAGTCTGTGTCTGGACTGTAGAAACATATCATATCAGTCTGTGTTAAGGTGGACATGGGACATGTCTGCCATCAGTGATCAGGAAACACAAACTCTCTGGGAACTGTGGTTGGCAGGGAGGGGGCTTGTGGTTAGTCCAACCCATGTGGGCTCAGTTTCAGCCTGTCTGGCACAGCTGTGGGATACGGACCTGTCATTCATCCATATAGCATTTCCTCCTCTGTAAGGATGCTAACAGTTGCCTTGACCCAGGTGCATTGCTATCCAAAAACCACTCTGCACACTTCCTGGCTGATGACGAATGTTAAACATTAGTCAACCACTATCATGAATCCTCCTTCTGTATTTAATTATCTTGCTTGCGTTCTTTTCTGACTCTGACTTGTAATCTTTTACATAAAAGTAACTTTCCACAGTTTTGGGACTGAATGTCCATGTCCCCCCAAATCAAGTTTTGAAACCTCACCCTTAATGGAAGGGCATTGGAAGTGAGGTCATGGGAGGTGGTGGGGTCATGGGAACAGAGGCCTCAAGAACAAGGTGGGTGCCCTTAGACAAGATACACCAGGCAACTCCCTCACTGCTTCCACCATAGAGATTAAGTGGAAACCCCTAGAGGAAGGGACCTCACCAGACCCCAGACCTTGACCTTGGACTTCTCACTTTCCATTACTTCGGGAACCAAATGTCTGTGTTTTTTTTATGAACTGCCCAGTCTATGATGTTTGGTGACAACAGCCCTCACAGATGAGATGTTGGTACACATTTTTCCCCATTTTGTCCTTTGTTTTGTGACTGAGTTTCATAAAAGACAAGAGATTCAGTTTTAATATACTTTGTCTCAGATTTCTTTGATTGCTTTTTTTGGTTCGAAGTTTAATATGATTTACTCTTTCATGTGTAACTTTGTAATTAACCTCACACTTGGGGAGTGATGTTTTGTGTGTGTGTGTGTGTGTGTGTGTGTGTGTGTGTGTGGTGTTATTCAATTATCTTAGCATTTTAACATTAAATGCTCCATCATTTTACATTGTTTACTGATTCCTCCTTTATCATATAAGACATTCTGGGTAAATAATATTTGTTTCAGTCAGTGTAACCACTGATTAGATAGAGGATAGATATGTAGATATAGATAGATAATAGGTAGACAGATAGATAAATGGATGGATAGACAGATACATGATAAAGATATATGGATGAATAGATGGATGTATAGGCAGACTGATAGATGATGCATACATAGATATAATGGATGGATGGATTGATAGGCACACATGCAGATAAATGGATGGATGTATGCACAGGCAGATAGATAAATGACTCATACATACATGGATAGATGAAGGGTAGATAGATGCTATGTAGATACATAGGTAGATGGACACAGGGAGAGACAGATGATAGATGGACAGATAGGTGAATTTGTGTAGTGTGTATTTTCTTGACTGAAGTTTCAAACGACCTTGCAGGAGAAAGGGCCATGTAACTGCTCTGCTCCCCTGGTACTTCCCAGGTGGACTTAATGAAATGAGGAAATCCCCAGGTTTCCAGGAAAGGGGAACTGGCAAGTAGAGGGGCCTGTGGGAGAACTGATGGTAAATGGAGCAGAGGCGGGGAGAGCACCAGGCTCTGAGTGTGCATGAGAACCAGGGTGCAGACAGAGACAGAGACAAGGAGACTCAGCAACCACACCTGGGCCCCACCGCTGTGTCCTCCAGCAGTGGGGCTCCACTCCCACCATGGTTCTAGAACCTGCTGCTTCAGAGGCCATCAAGCCATCTCCTCCACCCCCACACCTTAGGCCAGTGAAGCTAAAGAGAGAGGGACAGTCCCAGGGTGCCACACATTAGGGCCGCTTTATCTGGTCTCTGGCCCCTCGGTATCAGCCGCACCCAGACCACTCTCACTCAACACATCCTTCTGCAGGCTTGGAGGAGGCGGACTCAGAGAGAGGACTCACAAGACTTGTAACATGGGTGTGGCCCAGCATTCAGCCAAGCAGGACCCCAGGACAATGAGACCGCTGTGCCCATAACCACTGCCCACCTGTGCCAGCTTCCTGCAGTCCCAGAACTGACAAGCAGATGGCGCTGACCCAGGGTCTGCTCCACATGGCCCTGCTGGCTCTGTGCTGGAGACCCAGTGTAACAGAGACACAAGGCAAGTCTGACGACCCCTCCTCTTCCCATTCCTCTCCTGGCTACTGGGAGCTATGGGGGCCACCACTGAACCCCCAAGAAGCTCCCGGGGCCCTAGCAGCTCTGGCCTTTCTGCCCAGCTTTTTCTCCTCTGTTTTCTTCCCTGGGACTGTCCTGGGCTCCTTTCCTTCCTGTTCCCCATGTTCCTATTCATGCTGGCCTGGCCCTGCAGCGTCTTGCCCAGGAGCGTCACTTCTGCCCATTTTGCTCCATGCGGCACCCGAGCCTCCGCCCCACCTCCAATGGTCCAGTCCCTTTTCCATCCCTCCACAAACCTTTGAGTGTAAGAAAGTAGGGATTGGGAAAAGGGATGAAGGAACTGACCTCCATACAACAAGCAGGTTTATTAGGCAGGCTAAACCTAAGAGAGCACCTCCTCACAGCCTGGGGTCTGGAGGAAGAGAGCCTCTCTAATAGGCTCAGGGTCTTTATACTTTTTTCCTTGAGGAGTACCTGTGGTTGGAACTGTGTCATATGGGAAGGTAGCTGGAGAAGAGTTGTACCGTATCAGGGAGGAAGCAGAGCATAGCAACCACGTCTCTGGGAAGGCAGCTAGAGGGTGGCAGTTAGGTGAGGTGAGGCGCTGGTCTCTGGGAAGGCAGCTGCCTTCCATCCAGGGCCTAATATTTCTCCTTCATTCCCCTTTGTCCTTGCTCCAGGGGCTCTGGTCTAGACCTCTCTCCCCATAGCAGCCCCAGGCCCCTCCTGGTGCTTGGAGGCCATGTGGGACGTTCCTGGAACTCCCAAGACTGGAAGATTCTCCACAGTGCCCCCAAGACTTCCTCAGTGATATGGGAGCCACGTTCCCTTTGCCAGGCCCAGGTTCAGAGATGCAGGCCCAGCAGGTCAGGGTCAGGACAGGGATCTGCCAGCCGCATCTCAGGCCCAGGCCGGGCCCTCCTGCCAGGTGGCACCTCAGGGAGCAGGAGCCTGTGACGACACGTGTCCTTGTTCTGGGGCCTGTGCAGCACAGGAGGGCCCAGGCACAGCCAAGAATCCACTGGAATCCCATGTTCCCTATAGGAGAGGAATGTCCCAGCCAGGACCCCAACACAACCCTGCCAGGTTCAAGCCCTCTCTGGCCACTCTGGCCTCAGCAGGAAGCTGGAGAGCTCCCCTAGGGCTTTCCAGGAGGAGCGGTGGAGAGGGTGGCAGGGACACCTGGAGGGGAGAGGGTGACTCTCCTGCCTGTCCCCTGCAGACACTGTCCCACTGCAGACCTTACAGTGTTACAACGACTACACTAGCCGCATCATCTGCAGCTGGGCAGACACTGAGGATGCCCAGGGGCTCATCAACATGACCCTCTATCGCCGACTAGACAGGTGAGTGACGCTGTCCTATTGGCGTGGCTACTCGAAGACCTCACTGCCACCAATGCTCCTCCCCTGTGTCATCAATGGTGTGTGGACGTTGTCCCCAGTCACCTTATACACATGCTCAGTCCCCTTCCTGACTCCAGTAGTGACTGCAGCACCAGGTGCCTCCTGCCCCAGGTTCTCCTGCTGCTTCTCACCACAGCACTCCTCTGAAGAGCTGCACGAACGCCATGTCTTCCTAGTCTGTCTTCCTGAGCGTACGCCCCCAGAATTCAGCTGTGCCTACCAGGGAATCGGATATCACTCAGCAATACCCCCAGACCAATGGCCAGGGCTGAGCCTTCTTCCACCATTGTACTAGGATGACCATGGTGCCTGCTTGTAGCTCACTCTCACCTGACTTACAGCCACCACACTCACCCAGGTACCCTGGTGTTCCTGCAGACTTTCTAGACATTTTGCCCCTCCCTCCATCAAGTGCAAAGAGTGAGACCCCTAAGTGTCTATCTATCTATATCTTCCTATCTATATCTGGTCTTCCGAGATTTCCCCCCACCCCCACCTCAAGCTATGGGTGGAGACTCTTTGATGACCATCTCTAGCCCAGACCTCCCCACCCACCACACACACACTTATGCTGTTACTTAAGTGATGAGTTTCTCAGATTCCAAATACCCTAAGGCAAATTCTGCTCTTCTTTGCAGACTGTTCTGTCTCTGTCTCTTCACTGACTGGGAAGAGATGGCAACTTGGGCTAAATGACTGGAGGGTTGGTTTGGTTTCTAAATCTCATCTAGCATCTTTCCTCTTTATCTCTGTGCTTGCGCTGTCAGCAAACACTGCCACATTTATCTCCAAATAAGATGTGAATCAGAGCAATGTTGATACCACCTCCACAGCCCAGATGACTTAAAACCACCAGGATGGCCCCAAAGCCACCAGCCCATTTTCTTGCATCCACAACCCTAACCCATTCTGTCCAAAACCCAGAGGAATCCTTCAAAGCTTGCCTCAGAACAGGTCCTTCCCTCCTTCACTGATAGGGCTCTAAATATCTACCACTAACTCACAGTAAAATCAGAGTTCTTTATGACCAGGCCCAAGACTGTTTTGCTGGCTGCCTGAAAGTCAGTACTCTGGGGCAAGTTTGGGGGGACAAAGAAAGGATTTATTTGAAAAGTGGAACACTGAAGAGGATGAGAGGGAATGAATTGCCCAAACCACTTTGCGCTGATGTCACAAGTACAAGACTCCCCTAGGGACTTGGGGAGAGGGTCTTTCTAGTCTCCAGTGGGTGTGGGGGCAGTTACCAAGTGGTGATAAGTTCTGATGGGGCTCTGACTTCTGACATACTGTTATCTGAAAGTCATTGGCTGTCCTGGCTTCTGTCGACCTGGAGAGACATTGCTAATTGGTGTTTTATGACTCAATGTCTCTTTAGTTTTTTTCTCAGGAATAGTTAACCATGCAGTTTAGGACAAAGAAAAGAGGAGAACAATTTTAACTTGCGATGGGGTTTTGGTCAGAGGTGCCATCCGCAGCAAAGCTCACACAAGACCAGAATACATTATTCAGCTGTGTGGCTGACAAAATTAGAGATTTATAAACTCTACTGAAAGCCAGCAAAGCTAGAGCTTTGAATTGGGCTCCTCCTGGGTTACACTCAGATTGCTTATAGGCATTGCACCAGAAATTTATCAACCAGATCCCAGACTGCACACATACTCCATTCCGTGCAGGTTGGTCATAGACCTAGTGAAGCCTCACTCCAGCGTGTGTCTGCCTCAGGGACTTTGCATTTGCTGTTCCCATTTCTTGAAATATCCTTTCAACAGACTCTGCACGCTTCTTCTCCCCCTCTAGAGACTCTGCACACACATCATATACATAGTGAGACCGTCCCGTTTCCCTGTTTCAAACTGTATTCCTCACACTGAAATCCTCTAGGCCTCTCATCCCTTCTTGCTTTGTCTGTAGGACATTTTCTCATAATGTGTGTATGTTATTCATGTTAAGTTGTTTATATATTATTTGGTAATTTAGTGAGTGCCTTCCCAACAGGGTTCCCACTCCACAGACAAGTATACACATGTGTTTGTGTGTGTGTGTGTCTGTGCATGTGTGTCTGTGTGTTTTGTGTGTGTGTATATGTCTCTGTGTGTATCTTTGTGTATTTATGTGTGTGTCTGTGTGTGTGTTGTATGTGCCTGTGTGTGTCTCTATATGTGCCTGTATGTCTGTGTATGTCTTCATGTGTGTGTGTTTGTGTGTGTGTGTGTGTGTGTGTGTGTGTCTGTATGTGTGTGTTGATATGTTGTTCACTGCCAGATCCTGACCTTGAGTTAAAGTCAGGCTAATACTAGGCACTCAATGAATTCCTGGTGAATAAGTGACTCTTATTCCCTGACAGTGACCAGGCAGTGTCTTGTGATATCAGTGAGAACCTACTGTGGTCAAGCTGCCCCTCACCCCACCGCTGCGTACCCAGGAGATGCGTCATTCCTTACAATCTTTTCGTTGTCGCGGATGAAGACTACTACTCATTCCAACCAGACCGAGAGCTGGGCATCCAGCTCACAGTTCCCCTGGACCAACATGGTGAGGAGCTACAGGCCCTGCCCAGGGGTGTGCTGTGGATCGATGGGCACCCATGGTCACCACATGCTCTTGGTTTGGGCTAATGATCATCTTCTATGAGATTTTATTGTGGAATAGAGACAAGTTGCCAGCACTTTAGGCTAAAGGAGAAACTGAGCTTTTGCACTGACAGTCTAAGCTGTGCATGTACCAGGCTGTTATAGGACACTATAACTCCTGTATGCTGCTCACAGTGCCGTGTTAAGCGCTGTTGTCACTACCTCTGATAAACCTGAGGCAGGAGGGAGGGGACCTGCCCAAGACATTGGCCTGAGGTGCTGGGCCCTTCTAGCTGGCTCTGACCCCATCATTGCTCCCCAGTGCTCCTACATGGTCTGGGGAGGAGTCTAGTCTGCTTCCTGTCCCTCTCTGCCCTAACATCACCAAGCTGCTATCTGGAAGAGGCAGAAGGCAAGGACCTAGGAATTCCACTGAAGCCATTCTTTCAAACATATGGAGATGAGAGTCCCTTCTCCAGGGGCTCAGAGCTGTGGCTAAAGGGGTGGGCAACTGGATACCATCCCCCGAGATAACATTCAGTAGCCAGCTCCATGTACAGAGACTAGAGAGGAAGAATCTGGGGATCAGGACCGGCTTCCCAGAAGGAAGGAGGGGACTTTGCAGCTGAATCCTTGGTATGGGAGGAGCCAGGCCCACAATCTTGGCAGGGATAGCACCTGGGCAAAGGCAGGAGATGGACGAAGCTGTGACATGCTGGGAAAACAAGCTGCATGATCATCGTATCCAGGAAGTATTTGGGTCAAGAAAGCTGGACGGTGACAGAGGAAACAGAGATGCAAACAGCTGCGTCTCAGGCTTGGAGATGGTGAGGGGTCAGGGTCCAACATCTGTCCCCCAAGTGTGAGAGTGGCAGAAGTGCAAACTCATGAATCCACCCTGGTGTGGCAGAACTAAGATGGGGTGACAGAGGGTCGTAGGAAGACAAGAAAGGGGACAGCAGGTTCTGTCTGGGGACCAGGGGGTTCCAACAATGTCCTCAAGACAGGTGACATTTATACTGGGCAGTGACTATGGCAGGGACCTGGGCAATGGCAGAGTGGACAGAAAGAAAGGGAACAGTGTGGCTGCACAGGAGGTCGCAGTGCACAGCAAGGAGGAGCAGCCCCTCTGAGTTGAACATCCAGGACTTATAAGGCAGGTGACTGTGGGGACACAGCACCCAACTGCCTTTAACTCCTGTCACATCTGGTGCCCAGGTTTGCAGGTGCAGGACCTGAGGCTGCAGAGGAAGGGTCCTGAGGGTCTAGATTATTGTCATCAGCTGATGGGGTCAGCACTGAGCCTGGACCCAAGGGTCATCCAGGACCCAGGCTGCCTCCGGTTCCCCCAGCACACACCCATCACAAGCCCTTTGCTTCCTCTCCTGCAGTCCAGCCCCCACCTCCCAAGGACATCCAAGTGCCAGGGACTTCAGAGGGCACTGGGCTTCATGGGGAAGGGGGAGGTGGGTGACAGATGCTGGGTCTGTCCAGTGAGCATGTGCAGATGCTGTCTTGCCCTGTGAGTCTAGCAGGATGCAGGGCCTCCTGAATCATGATGTCAGGAAGATGGCATGATGTTATCATGGCAGAAGGGGAAGAGCAAGGGAACATGCATACCCAAGGGCCTAGACTGACCCATTCTTCAGAACCCACTTCCATGATGAACAACTCTTCCCTCTGTAACCAGCCCATTCCTGTGGACTTCATGCATGAGGACCATGGAAATCTGTGTGACCTAATCCCCTGTCAGCACTGCTGTGATAAAGTCAGTTGCCAGCATGTAGACTTTGGGGGACATACTTAGACCATAAAAACTCCTCCTGGGGAGGTGACAGTTAAGCAGAATTTACTAGCTTTATTCCAGGAAAAGACATAGAAGCCCAAAGAAGGAAGGAAACTGGCCTTGGTTCTCCTTAGCCCAGAGCCTAAGCCAGGAACCCACAGACCTGGGGCAGGCCTGTCCTGTATCTCTGGGCTCTCTTTTACTCCATCCCTCCCATCCAGGCTGATGCCATCTACAACATGATAGGCTACCCCAACTTCATCATGGACCCCAAGGAGCTGGACAAAGTGTTCAATGATGTAAGTGGCTTCTACCTACCCTTAAACTTCCTTCTCACACGGGAAGGGGCCAGAGTGAGGCTGGGTCCAGTTTGGATGCTGGAGGTAGCATGACTCTCAGGATGTCTCAAAGTGATATGGGGTGGTATTTAAGGATATAGGAATGAGGAAGACTTTCCCTGTTCCTTTGTGTCGTGGGTCAGTCAGTGGATGTCAGTGAGTATCCTGGGCTACAACTCCAGCCCTGATGCTCAGTGAGTGTCCCCTCTCCATCCCACCCTGTTCCCTTGTCCTTAGGGCCACAACTCAACTGAGGTCTCAGCCTGCCTGAGCCTCCCCTGGCCCTGTCCTTAGCTCAACTATGCTCCCCAGGGAGGAAGAATGCTCTCCAGTGGAGGAGCAGCAGGCCGGCCTCTTCATCCATTATCACTGTGGGATAAATGTGTCCAACCCCAGTGCACACAGCCGGTACACAGTCTCTGTTAAGCCGCGGAAGCAAGGGAAATACATTCCAAGCTCCAACCACAGTGAGTTTACCCTATCTCTGCATGGGTTCCAGGGACTGTAGGGGTCCCTTGTGTCACCCTAATAAACCAAGGAACATCCTGATACATCTTTGTGTTTGTCACTTTTAAAGATGTACAGGCAGTGACTTAGTGATCCGAAGTTATTTGGAGGTTGGGGTGATGGTTCAATGAATAAGACTGCTTGTTAAAAGCATGAGGACATGAGTTCAAATCCTGGGACCTGCAGCTCTTAAGATAGCAAGAACCTGTAAGCTGATCCTGGCTTCAGGCAGGGGCACCAAAATAGTGGAGAGGAAAGGCTGACACAGGAGAGTGGAGACTCTACAGTGCCTAACCTCCATCTCAGGCACGTACCTTATGTGTTCTGAGACTCAGTTTCCCCATATGTAAAATGAAGGAATTAGAACACTTCCCGTGGAAGGGGCAAGAACCCAGTGATGGCGTTACTGCAGAGCAGATGTGTTGCCCAGGGGCCTGGAACAGTCTGTATCGCTCAAGAGCTGATTCTCCATAGTTGTATTTTTCTTTCTTTTTTGTCTTTTTGAGACAGGGTCTCCCTGTAGCCCCAGCTGTCCTGGAACTCATTATGTAGACCAGGCTGGCCTTGAACTCAGAGAGGTCCACCTGCCTCTGCCTCCCAAGTGCTGGGATTAAAGGCATGCGCCACCACGCCTGGCACATAGCTGTATTTTCATATCCACCATGACCTGGGAGGTTCCAAGCTTTGGGCCTCAGCATCTAAGCATCTCCTGTCAGGGACAATGCCATGATGTGGGGATGCTGGAGACTTGAAGCCAAAGTGGTGGGTACAGAGGATTGGTCTAGCTGGAATTTGGACCAAGGTTGCCCCTGTGACCAGATGGATCATGGGAAACACTCCACCTGAGGGAGGTTACCCTGCATCCCTGAAATCCCCCTCCCTCCAGTCCAGATGCCCTCTCCAACCCTTAATGTGACCAAGGATGGAGACACTTACAACCTGCACTGGGAAACAGAGAAAATGTCCTACTCCCACATCAACCACCAGTTCCAGGTCCAGTACAAGATGGATTCAGTCAACTGGGAGGTGAGGACTGTAACCCAGGGGAAGTTAGGGACAGGAAAAGGAGAGTTGGGGGAAGAAAGGATACCCCGGGACCACCTGCCAGGGGACTGACCACTGTGACTCAGGACCCATGTGGTCAGCAGATGATAGTCCCATCCCCTGGTAAAGAAGCTAGTCTCAAAGAGGTGACATGACATGGTCCCATGACCAGAGCTGCCCTTCCACTCAGAGAGCAGAGTCAGTGTGGGGCCACAGCAACCACTAGAATGAAGGTTACAGCCGGTCACTAAGACCTGGGAGCATTTCCTCCCAGGAACGAGATATAACCAAACACATAGCCTCTGAGGGCCAAGCTACAGCCGAGGGCCCAACTTGCCCAGCACACGTCCCCATCTGCAGAGGTCTGGGCTGAGGTACAGATCCTGGGACTCCATAGAGTTCAGAGCAGGACCATGGGTTTCAGCCCCACAGCATCAGGCAGGCAATGGGGTTTTGAGGCCTGAGGGTAGGTCAGCAGGGTGTTGGGAGGAGGTCAGTCCTGACCCTAATTCTCATATCATAGGGCATGCTAAACCAAGACTAACCCTGGATCAGCCAGAATTTGGGCCAAGGCTGTACACTAGACAAATTGGGAAGAGGAAGAGATTCTGAGCCTTGGCCTGGGTATGACTGTCAGCACAGAGAGTTAGTTTCTGGGCCCCAGAAATTCTGGGCTTCAGTAGGCTTTGTACTGGGGTCTGAGACTGACCAGGAGACTCGGTGGGTCTGGATGGGCCTGTGTGGTGGGCAGCTGAGTTCCTGAACCTGGTCAGTGGCTCAGCGTCAGCACACCTGCCACCACAGGACAGCAAGACAGAGACCGTAAAGCAGGCCCACAGCATGCTGCTGCCAGCACTGAAACCTGCCACCGCATACGGGGCCAGGGTGAGGGTCATGCCCACCCCCGGCTACCATGGGATCTGGAGCGAGTGGAGCAAGGAGGCCTCCTGGACCACTGAGTGGGGTACGTCTCCCGTCCTCCACTCCACCCTGGCCTGCCTCTCCCTAAGGTGTCACTTGACCCTGGAAAGTGACACTCGACGTGCAAGACACACTGTAAATGGGGACTTGAGAGAGCAGATAGCCCGTCTTACCCTCATTCCTCCTTTAAGTGGGAGCTTAGGCCTCTGTTTAAAAGGCCCTTGGTTTCATTATCCATGATTGGTCAATCTGGGTTTCCTGTTCCGATGGCAGCAGAGCCATGGTAGCCTGGGTCTGGAGGGTTGGGTGGGATGCTTAGGTCCTGCCGACCTCCCTGTCCTCCTTGCTGCATTCAGACCTTACCTTACCTGTGGTGACCACCTGGACACATGCACTGTGCAAGGCAAGGTCTGGGACGTTTGGAGAGGACACGGGGTGTTGGTCTAAAGCTCCCCTCACAGCCAGCCTTGCAGAGGGAGGAGCCCCGGAGTGATAGTCACCCAGGTAGAAGGAGGGCTGGGGCCATGGCTCAGGAGAGGGGAAGGGGTCCTGCTGGGCCAGGCCAAGAGGGCTCATGCTGTCAGCAGAGACCCTCGGTAAGCCCATCGTCCCCTCTCCTCCTCTGCCCTCCCTGTACCTGGAGGTCATGTCCCAAGCTGCCTCCTTCTGGAAAGCTCCCTGGTCTCTGCCAGTCCCCACAGGGTACCTGCTGCTGCTCAGGGTGGAACTTCCTCACACTGAGCACTGGGGCTCTTCCCAGTGGGTCTGGCCTTCTGCCCATCACCTACAAACAGTGTGTTCCCTCAGCCCTGGTCCTGCACAGAGGGTCTGGAGACACTAGCCCTCCCCAACCTGCATCCTGACCCTCCCACCTAATACTGCTTCTCCTTCTTGCTGTCTAAGTACTGCCCACATGGGGGCTGGCCCTCATCCTGGTCTTCATCACCCTGGCCTTGCTCACGGCCCTCCGTTTTGGCAGTGTCTATGGGTACAGGTAAGTGCAGTGAGTGGGCTGAGGGGAATGGAACCCGGGCCCCAAGGACCTCCAGGGATGGCATGGTCTGGCCCTTGCTGTTCCACTCTGCCACTCACCCACGGCCTTAGCATCCCCTTTGTTCATGGGCACCTGAGCATCTGGTCCTTGAGGTTCTGGAACCTGTCGTCCTCCTGTTGTCTTCCAGGTTGAATAAGAGGTGGAAGGAGAAAATCCCCAACCCCAGGAAGTGCATCCTGTTCCAGGTAGGGAGGACTGAGCTCTGCTGCTGGCTCCCTGTCTGCCCAGCCTCCTACACTCCATCTTTGCTGTCACATTGGTGCTGAGTAGATGGGTCTCTGGGGCTCTCTGGGAACCCTGAGAAGCAGGGTCCCACAAACTGCCCAGACCCTGCTGGAGTCAAAGGGAGTTAGAGCATTACCTTGGGGGATGGCTCAGGAGGGACTGCTGCCGGGGGTGGGGGGCTGAGGACCACAAGGCAGAAATTGAGCTGTGTGCTGCAGGACCTCTGGAGCTGTGTGGTAGAGCCACTTGTAGTGAGGGGGTCTCGAGGGGGTCAGGCCCCAAGGTGGGGTGTCAAGGACAGAAAGATAGGTTGGGGTTTTTCAGGAAGTGATGGACATGGGTGGACACCAGGGCCAGAAGGAAGGGACCTGTGGCAGGCAGCAGGGCCTTCTGTCCTCAGGTGTTTGGGGAGTTATGGCTTCTCACTTTCTGGGGTCAGAGCCAGGCCCTGTTGTAAGGAGATTCCTCCCATCCGTGGAGCTCAGGGAAGACAATACCACATGCATGATGTCGTCTCTTTTCCCCTTCCCGAGCTGCCCTCCCCGACACACTCTGAGCACAAATGTCCTTCCTCTTCCAGGATGGACCTGCAGGGTTCTGGCCTCCCCACAGCATGGGACCCTTCATCACCAAGAGCCCCACTCCCCAGGGGCCAAGGGGCAGCCTCTTCACTGAGCTAGAGGGGTGAGTGGTTGGGTTCCTGGCCCTTGGGGAGCCTACGGGAGGGAACTGCCCCGTTGTGCACATCAGAGGCTTTTGTGGGGTGGCCTGTCACTCTCTGAAGAAATCCCATGAGGTGACTTTCACTGTAGCAGGTGGCACTCCAGGTAGACGTGGGGAAGATTCCAGATTAGGGTAGGATAGACAAGGGACTAAAGTGAGCATCCTGAAGCAGGTGAACTCTTCCTCCCCTGCTTCCCAGAGAAGCCCTGCACTGCAAAGGCCTCATGGGTGGTTGAGGATGCATGCCTGCAGGTCCTTAGGCTATGTGGTGATGGCTAGGCCCCAGCTGCCAGTCTACTAGGGAAAGGCAGTGGCCTGGTGGGTAGAATGCTGCAATGAACAGAAGATGGTGGCAGCAACCCAGGGTGGTGACGTGAACTGAACACTTGGTACCTGATCCTTGGGGACAATGAACCTGTGTCCCATGTCATTCTTAGGTCCCTGATTCTACCTTGCCTCTGTGCTCACTTGAGACCTGGAAGGAGTCAGGCCTTCTAGAACCCTCCCCCCCAACACACACACATATTGAGTCACTGGGTTCCACAGCTCTGCTTTTGTTGTCCCCACAGGGTGTCATCTCCACATTTGGGGGAGAGTGAAGTGTCACCTCTCACCATTGAAGATCCTAACATTATCCAAGATCCACCATCTGGGCCTGACACCACCCCAGCTGCCTCATCAGAACCCATGGAACAGCACCCTAACCCCCACCTAGACCCATCAGTCCCCTCAGACAGGCCTGAGAGCCAGATTCCCAGCTTTGACTTCAATGGCCCCTACCTGGGACCTCCCCACAGCCGTTCCCTGCCTGACCTTGTGGGCCAGCCAGTGCCCCCACAGACAGGTGGGAGCCTGAAGTCAGCTCTGCCAGGCTCCCTGGAGTACCTGTGTCTGCCCCCTGGGGGACAGGTGCAGCTGGTCCCACTGGCCCAAGCAATGGAGCAGGGCCAGGCTGTGGATGTGGAATGCGAGCTCAGCCTAGGGGCCAAGGGGAGCCCTTCCACAGAATTTGGGGACAAGCCTTCACCTGAGCCAAGGGTAGAGGGGAAGGACCCAAGGGATAATCAGGTGGCTCTGCCCATGAGCTTTGGGGGCCCTGAGGACCCTGTGGTGGCCTCTGGTTATGTGACTCCTGCAGACCTAGTACTCACCGTGCCCTCAGGGACCCAGTCTCTCTCCCTGGCCCCCTCTTTGGGATCCCCCTCAACCCAGAGCCTCAGCCTCTGTCTCGGGCTGACTGGAGGTTCCCCTGGAACTGCAGCCCCTGGGCCACAAGGATTTGAGGGCTACGTGGAGCTCCCTCCGAGCACAAGCCAGTCCCCCAGTTCATCTCTGTGCAATTCTATCCTTCCTGTGCCCAGCAGCCCTGTAGTGAGCCTGGAGGAGCCCAGGGAGGAGGGGGCCCCAGCATCCCCACACCCTGAGGGCCTCCTTGTCCTGCAACAGGTGGGAGACTACTGCTTCCTCCCTGGCCTGGGGCCTGGCTCCCTCTCGCCTCGCAGCAAGCCCTCCTCCCCTAGCCTTTGTCCCGAGATGGAGGATCTAGACCAGGTTCTGCCTGTCAAAAAGCTTCCCTACCAGCAGGCGCCCCAGGTGCCCGCCATCCAGTTCTTCAAATCCCTGAAGCAGCAGGACTACCTGTCTCTGCCACCTTGGGACTTCGGCCGCTCCAGGGAGGTGTGCTGAGGCCCCCTGACCTCACCAACAGCCTTGTACTGCGGGCCTGGGGGCTTACTCACTGAGATCTCCAGACCTGAGCACCCTCCATCTCTGTTCTGCCCTTGACCTTCAGCAATGCTCCCCCCTACCTGGTCTCTATCTTCTGTCTTTCTGTCTCTGTCTTTGCCTCTGTCTCTCTCTCTCTCTCTGTCTCTCTCTGTCTCTCTCTGTCTCTCTCTCTCTCTCTCTCTCTCTCTCTCTCTCACACACACACACACACAGTTCTTTCAAGTTAATTACTAGAACTTTTCATGCATATTCCACCTGCTAGATCTTTCTTCCTTTCCCTCTAACTTGGAGTTGGGCTGGGGTCCGAGCGGCCTCTGGGGGTCAGACCTGTGTGGTCTGTCTAGAGTCCAAGGACTGCTATAGGCCTTGTCCTCCTCAGGCTCCAACAACATGGCACACCTCTAGCCCAGTGCAGGAGGAAGGAGACTTGAGTGGGCACCTCAAGGGTCAGACTTTGACAGACTGTGTGGGGAATGGGCAGCACACATCATCTGAGAATGAGCATGGCTTTCCATAGCAATCTGGAGCTGCCAGGGAGCCCTGGGGTCCTTACAGAGGGGACTGGAACCCATTGTTATGTAGCGAAGTCATTGATGTGGACAACGCCAGACGGAGACCACAGTTACGACCAGGCTGGGTGAATGAGGGACAATGGGGTGGGCAGGCAATCCAGAACTCAGTAGCAGCTGTGGAAAAGCTGAGGGAAAACCCACAAAGGACAGGAGTACAGTGACCACAGAACAGTGCATCCAGGTGTTGAGTCTGTGGGATGATGGCTCTTGGAAATCACTGCCTTTCTGAAGCTCAAGGCACACGCATTACACTGTTTTTATTTGCATTACTTGCTCACGGTCAGGTTTGTCCATGTTTTCGGATGTGTCTTGGGTATCAGCATTTACTATTTTATTCTTTTCTTGGGCTAAGCCCATGAAACTTTGTGTTTATCATTTTCTGACGAGGCTGTAAAGCTATTTCCACGTGGCCTTTTGTGGGAGATACACACGTCTCCCTTGAGTGTGTTCTCTTAGTTTTGTACAGGGGGCTTTGCGACACCCCCAGCACTTGTGCATCCAAATTGCCATGAGACAGATGGCTGAGCTGCACCCCATTTGGGGGCCATATTTGCAGAGGTCTTCAAGGGAAAACTTATAAGTGTCCATTTGTATTGTGTGTGTGTGTTTCAAGCTTTATGTGGAAGTTTTTAACTATTCTGGAATATACGCATGTGACACAGAGATCTGCTCGACAAACCCGGAGTGAAGGGATGGTGTGTCATTGGTTCCCTCCTCTGCTCTCTGTCTCTGTGACTGAAGGGTCACTTTCATGATCCACCGAGTCCTCGGCGGAACTGGCTCCAGTTTCCTCTCCTGTGGCCCTTACTCCCTCAATGGAGCCACTGTCCTGATTGTTCTTCGTATTCGATCTTGACACGGGGCAGGCAGAGCAAGTGTTCCTCTTGATTTTGTTCCTCAGTCTCTGTTCACTGCAACAAAGAAAATCATTCAACCTGAATCTTTATCAGTATGAAATTCACAACAGCCTGTCAGTACATGCTAAAGTGAAAGCTCTGGGGGAAATGAGCAAGACCAGCTCACACATTAAGTAAGATATTAACTCTCAATACCTTGCATTAAGAGGAAAATTTGTAATAAAATGTTTGCAACATAGCACAAAACCTGGCCTTGAACTTTGTGTGTGTGTGTGTGTGTGTGTGTGTGTGTGTGTGTGTGTGTGTACTGGAAGGGTAGCAGAGGGTACTGTTTGACCCACTCTCTCCCCAAATGCATTGTCAGGAAGGCAGTTTCCTTAGACCAGGGCATTTGGTCTTTGCAACACCGCAGTGAGAGTGTGGACAGCTTCAGTGAGCGTAGGCTGGCGGGGGGACAGGGTACCATGGAGAGATACAGGATGTGACCAACAGGTTGAAAAGCGGGTGGGCTTCTGGGAAAATCCAGGAGGGAAGGAGACGAGAGAGAGAGGGAGGGAGGAAGGAAGATGGTGTGTGACAGAATATAGAGATGATTACACGGTAAAATCTATTCATTGTCTGAAGTTCGGGTTTGACTGGGTGTCTCACATTTGCTCTCTGGTTATGAGAATGGAAAGCAGAGAAAGAGAGAGAGAGAGAGAGAGAGAGAGAGAGAGAGAGAGAGAGAGAGAGTTGTTCATAGAAAAAACAGTGATTGGGAGAACTGCATTCTGACAGACATGCTCATGTGACCTATGGGACTGACTATGAGATAGACTGTTTCTGTCAGTCTTGTTTTTGTACCTGAGGTGAGGCCATTTGGTGGGGAAGTCAGGAAAAGACTGACTGAAAGCAAGAGAATTGGTTCAGATCTAAGTCCAATTTCCATTGATGTGAGATGAGGTAAAGATCATGTGCACAGTTAGAACAACTGGGGGGCCTGGAGGCAGAGGCTCCAGGAGGACAGATGTCTCTAGGAGTGTAGGGACATGACATAGGACATGGGGGAGGGAAGCAGGTAGAATGATGATGACTTCACTGTGTGCCAGAGGGAGGGCTCAGGGCTGGGAGGCCCCAGTGAACATGGGCTGAGGATGACAGAGCTTAGCATTCATCCTAAATCAAGAGTCACCACAAATTAATAAGAACCTAAAAGAAAAACAAGACTAATCAAAAAGTTTATCCTTGATGGTAGTTAGACGTGTTCTAATTAAAATTGTACACTTTAAAAAAAACTTGTTGGATTGGTAAATATGGGGAGGAAAATCTCAATATCAAGAACTAGGGAAGGCAAGGGGCCTTGGTTGTAATAGTGCACACCAGTAGGATATGCTGAAGAGGCAGAGGCAGGAGGATCACGAGGAAAAACATGAGCATATGGCATTCTTTTTAAAAATTTTCCTTTGGCGTTGTTGACCAAAGAGATCCCCCTAAATCCTCAAACAGTACTGGCTACTGCCGTTGCTCTGGGTTTCCCAGCAGAACCGATCAGTAAGACACTATTACTGAAGATACTACATACCTGAGTTACATAATAGACAAGGAGCAATCAATTTGGACTGACCTAGAAGCTACTTCTCTACTGACTAGCTTTCATAGTACTAAAAAGTGCTGTGCATGTTACTGACAGAGGAAGGCAATTATCAACCTTACCCAGCTGCAAGCTACAACAACTGGCTTAGCAAAATATGCCCAATGGTGCAATAGTGGTACGAATATTATAGCAGTGACCAACCACCTTGTAGTTGGACTTAGGGTCTGCTTCACAACAGAGAGTCTATACCTGACACTGTTATCAGGGTAAGAACCTGTGGCTAGACAAATCACAGGTCATAGCAGAGACTCTAGTACTATCATTCTGCTAAATAGACATGATATTAAACTGATTCACAATGACTTATTTTTATACCCAATTATCTCAACCCTCACCAGAGAAAGCTCTTTTTGCAGCAGATGGTGATTAACACAGAGACCCACAAATTGTCAGCTTGCCAATAATAAGAGACTGTGGGGTGCTCAGTTCTAAATGAGACACACCTATATTGCACCCTCTCCTCCCAAGGCTCAGGGATCATTATGAAAGAAGGGAAAGGAAGGAAGATTGTAAGAACCAGAGGTAATAGATGGCTACAAGGAAACTATGTTGTCTGGACACCAGAGAGGTAGTCATATGAACCCACAGCATTTGTGACAGCATGCACAAGACTTGTTCAAACCCAGGCTAGACAGGGACCCAGCATGGATGGAGGAGATAGGCAGGAAGCCCCCCTAGCTGAGTATCTATGGGCTACTCTGGAATCCTGGGAAAGGGGAGTCAGGATTATTGGTGTGATGCCTGGTAAGTTGACCAGACTCCAGGGCATGGACTCACACCCAGGAGCACATGAGACATGGACCTCTAAAAAATAAAAATTAAAAAATAGATGATATGTACATGTTTTTAATCCAAGCACTCAGGAGGCAGAAGCAGGAAAATCTCTGTGAGATCAAGGCCAACCTGGTCTATATTGCAAGTTCAAGGCTAGTTGGAGTTACCGGGAGACCCTGAGCCCCCAAAATGTGCATGCGTGTTTTGCCTGCATGTAAGTGCACCCATGAGTGCGATACCTGTGGAAGTCAGAAGGCGGCGCTGTATACCCTGGAACTAGAGTTATTAATGGTTGTCAGCTGCTATGTTGGTAGCTGAGGAACAGAACCTGAATCCTTTGCAAGAGCAGCAAGTGCTCTTAACTGCTGGGCCATCTCTTACCCTCCGCCACCCCAACCAGGGTATGGTATTCTTATACTGTGTTCTAAGTGGACTTTGTTTTTTTAGAGCAGTTTGAGTTCATCACCCACAAGTTCCCATGTGTCCTCACAGCCTCCCCCACGCCAGTAGCCTGCACCAGGGCTGTAGTTCCTTGGAGTTGCTACAACAAAAATGACATAGACTGAGGGGCTTAGGAACAAGAGAATGTATTTCCTATGGTGTTGGAAGCTGGGAAGCCCATGGTAAGACGCCATCAGAACTAGGTATGGTGGTGTATACCAATAATCTCAGCATTTGGGAGGCTGAGGCAGGAGAATAGCCATGAGTTTGAGGCCAGCAAGGGCTATACAGTGAGTTCAAGAACAACAGAGTAAGTTCCAGGTCAACTTGGATTATATAGTGAATTCCAGGCCAGCCTGGGCTACATAGCAAGACCCTTTCTCCCAAAGCAAGAGAAACAAACAGATAAAAGATGCCTGACCTTCTGGTAAAGGCCACTTCCTCACAAGCCAGGCCCTCTCACTGTGCCTTCATGTGGCCAAGGGAAGAAGGATCTCTCTGGGCCTCCTTTATAAATAAGGGAACGCTCCTAATCACAGGGCTGAGCCTTTTGACCTTATTTACAAAGGCTTTACTTCCTGATGCCACCACAGGTGTTAACATCTCAACACTCTCTCTGGGGGGTGGGGGCATAAACCGGCAGGCATGGCAACAGTGGCACATTTGGCAAACACATCGACACAGGATCGCCACCTGCAGTCTTGAGTTGGACTTGGGCTACGCGCTGATGTTGTGTGCTTGAGTAAACGCAGAATGACACGTGCCCACCGCTACAAAGCCGTCTCACGCTCAAATTCCACTCTGCACTGGTTCATTTCTCTACCCGTTGAGCCTTCTCTGTTCTTTCATCTTCTCAGAACAGAAACAGGGATTCCAAAAGTACAACCTCCGGACCAATGTTATCAGCATTGACAAGTAAGGGGAAAATGCACCTCCCATCCCACCGCAGTTCACGGAACCAGCAACCTCTTCACCAAATCTTAGTTCAGTTCTGAGGCATGTGAGGTGTGGAAGCCTCTTTTTTCACCCCGTGCTTCACGGCCTTCCTCTAAGCACATGGAAAATCCGGGGAAGAGACAGGCAGATGGGACAGGGAGGTCAGGCAGATAGATGCCAGAGTCTCAGCAGAGGTGGGGTGGCAGCTTGCTGTCACATCACAGGGCCATGAAGATCTCACATTGTCTTTATCGCTTTGAAGAGGAGCAGTCCACCTGGCCATAATGTGTGCCCAGGCAAGGGCATCTGGGTGCAGAATGTATTAGTCTGAGCTCTGCCCCCATCCTGGAGAGGAGGGCTTGGCTTGTGGAGGGAGTGGCCAGACTCCAGTGCTGGGGGGCAGGCAGTAGTCTCCCACCTGCTGCAGGACAAGGAGGCCCTCGGGGTGAGGGGATACTGGGGCCACCTTCTCCCGGGGTGCTCCTAGACTCACGACAGGGCTGCTGGGCACAGGAGGGGCAAGACTGCCCAGAGAGGACTCTGGAAACAGGCTCATGTTTGGAGGGAGCTCCATATAGCCCTCAAAACATGGCAGCCTGGAGGTTGAGGATCCAAGGAGCCCTTCAGGCAGCCTGGGACAGAGGCTGGGATTTGGGGCTGGGGGCAACCCCAGAGAGGGGGACAGAGAGACAGATGGAGCTGTCCCTGTAGGCATGGTGATCAAGTCTGCAGGGGTAATATAACCAGAGGCCACCATAGGGTCCTCAGGGCTCCCAGAACTCATGGGCAGAGCCACTGAGTTCTCCTCCAGGTCATGTCTCCTCACCTTTGGCCCAGAATCAGGAGGGACAGGGATGTCCCCAGCTTCCATGGGGAGGTTCCTCTCAGGCCCCAGGCTAGGCCCACACTCCACATTCATAGCCTGGCCCTGCTCCATCACCTGGGCCATTGGGACCAGCTGCGCCTGTCCCCCAGGGGGCAGACACAGGTATACCAGGGAACCTGGCAGTGCTGGCTTCAGGCTCCCACTTGTCTCTGGGGTCACTGACTGGCCCTTGAGGCCAAGCAAAGAGTGGTTGTGGGAAGGCCCCAGGTAGGGGCCATTGAAATAAAAGCTGGGGATCTGGTTTTCCAGCCTGCTTGAAGGGATTAGTGGGTCTAGCTGGGGGTCAGGGGGCTGCTCCATGGGTTCTGATGAGATGGCTGGGGTCATGCCAGGCCCAGATGCTGGATCTTGGACCATATTAGGGTCCTCGATGGTGAGAGGTGACACCTCACTATCCTCCAAATGTACAAACGACACCCTGTGAGAACAACAGAGATAGAACATCAACGGAACAGTGACTCCCAGCTCTGAAGGACACAAATGGGATGGCGTAAAAGAGAAGGGACCACAGAAAGTGGGTCCCCTGGGCAAAGATGGCCGACACATGCTGTTACCTGTGGTGAGGCCCTTGCTCTGCTTCTGCGGCCTATCATGTCCCCACCTGCTGCTCTTCTGTCGCCCTCCCAAGCTCCTGGGCACAACTTTCATGCCACCTCAGCACCCACCTGACCCTCTACCCTTGAGCTGACCAAGTCAGCACCCTGTCTGTGCCCCAGGCCTTTGCAAACCCCAGTCAGCACTCTCCTCCTCTCAGACTGAGTTTCCTATCACCCCTTCATTCTGGGGCCTCAACCTGCCACTGGAACCCCCAGCCTCCCTTCTGTGGGTTGATGGTCTCTACCTGGGTCACAGCAGGAAGCCCTGCAGAGGGAGTGTTGAATGAGATCTCCTGTTGGAGATCTCCCAGCTGCTCAGCGTGGAATCCCCTAAGACCAAACTCATGTTTTCTACCACATTCTTGGCTCTCTAAACCTGCTGTCTCTACAACTTTCATTTGGCAATGGCTCTGGCACTCAGCAGGGAACCACAGCTCCCCCACCACATGCAGAGTCATAGCCAGGTCCTGTCTCTCCCTTACCCTGTGTCTCCGCCCCAGCCAGCTAATGTCTCCTCCCCGCCACCTCCTGCATCCTACCCTATTCCTCCTCACTGCCCTTTTCCAGGTATCTTCACACGTACATAGCTGGTTGCCGTATGTCTGAACCCTCCCTAAAAGGATCCATGGACACAAACACCTGTTGGCGGTGCAGGGCCCAGCACTCCACTATCTGGCCCTTCATGATCTCACCTTGGGTGAGGGCCTTGTGAAGAGGAGCCTCGGGACCTTGTCCACATGGCTCCCTCTCCTGAAGTCCTCCCACTGCTCCCCACCCCCAGCCTTCAATACATCTTGCACTCTGCACTGAGTCCCCAGCAACTTTTCCTCGTGCATGCCCACATCTTGGGCAAAGGGCAGATATGTATGTACACATAAAAAGATAGATAGATGATAGATAGATAGATTAATAGATGATAGATAGGTGATAGATTAATAGATAGATGATAGATTAATAGATAGATGATTGATTGATAGATGATAGATGATAGATAGATAGATAGATAGATAGATAGATAGATAGATAGATAGATAGATAGATAGATAGATAGATAGATAGATAGATAGATAGATAGATAGATAGATAGATAGATAGATAGATAGATAGATAGATAGATAGATAGATAGATAGATAGATAGATAGATAGATAGATAGATAGATAGATAGATAGATAGATAGATAGATAGATAGATAGATAGATAGATAGATAGATAGATAGATAGATAGATAGATAGATAGATAGATAGATAGATAGATAGATAGATAGATAGATAGATAGATGATAGGATAATCTGCTGCCCTGTGCCTGGGACCCCTAGATGCCCTGAACACTCCTTCTTTTCCGCCTGCCCAGGTCTGACAGCTGACAGCTCTCTTTAGGGAAAAGGCTCTCCTTTTCTTCTCTAAGGAGGTGCAGCTCTGAATGGGAATCCTTCACAATGTGGCCTCAGTGAATCTCAGCTGCCTGTCTGTAAAGTGGGAGTAGAGGGCAAGCTTCCCCTTGCCAGGAAAGGAAGGGAAGGGATCCCACAGTACGGTAGCAAGCCCTTCACCTCCTACTTCAGAGCCAGGGAACAGGTCTCTGCAGAAATGGTGGAGGGTTGTTTCTGGAAACCTCCATCAAGAGAAAGCCATGGACATGAGTGTCTACTAACCTGCAGATGAGGTAGGAACCACAGGACAGACACTCAGAGGCCAGAGAAAGGGGAGTTAGCGCTACTTGGCTCAGAGGTTAAGAGCACTGACAGCTTTTCCAAAGGACACAGGTTCAATCCCCATTCCCAGCGCCCACATGGTGGCTAACAACTATCTGTAACTCTATTCCTGGGGGAATCTGACATCCTTTTCTGGCCTCACACACACTTTGTGCACTTACATACACGCAGGCAAACACTCATACACATAAAATGAAAATAAATCAATCCAAAAATTTTGGTTCAGCATTTAAGAGAACTGGCTGCTCTTGCAGAGAACCCAGGTTTGGTTCCCAGTACCCATATGGCAGCTAACAACCATTCATAGGTTTGGTTCCCAGTACCCATATGGAAATTACAAACGTGTTCCCCCATGCTCAGCTATATTAAAGGATTTTGAAGATCTAATTGTTAATTAAAATATACTGGACAGGGGCTAGAGAGATGGCTCAGTGGTTAAAAGCACTGATTGCTCTTGCAGAGTTCATAGGTTTGGTTCCCAGTACCCATATGGCAGCTAACAACCATTCATAGCTCTAGTTTCATGGAATCCAACTCCTTCTTCTGACATCTGCAGGCATTGCACACATGTGGTACACACACACATGCATGCAGAATATTTTATAATAAATAAAATATTTTTAAAAATTTAAACTCCTTGATGGGAGGGAGGCTGGTTAGGTCCAGCACTGACTTCCACCTACTCTAAGCTCTGAGCTTGCTCTTAGCTGCCTCACCCACCCAGGAGACATGTGAATGACCAGCAGTGGGAGGGGGGGAATGAGGACACACGCAATGGATAGGACTGGCGTGTGTGTGCACAGGACAGGATAGAACATGAGGGACACTTTTTAAAGGCAATGTGTACCTCAGTTTTCTTTTCATATGTGCTGTACGTGAGTGTACATGCATGTGTGGGTATGTTTACACATGTGTGCACGTGCATGTGAAGGCCAAAGGACAACCTTAGGTGCTAGGGTCTCACTGGACAGAGTCACTGTCCTGGAACTCACCAAGCATGCTAATGTGGCTGGTTAGTGAACCCCAGGGATCTGCCTGCCTCCACTTCCCCAGTGCTAGGATTACGAGTATGGGTCACCACACCTGGCTTCTTTCATGTGGGTTCTGGGGATCAAACTCAGGTCCCTCTGCTTGTAAGACAAGCACTTTACTGACTGAGCCATGTCCCCAGCCTGAGGCTCAGTTTTCTAATCAGAAAAATGAGCATCAGATAATCAGTGGAGAATGAGATGCTGTGTGACATGTGTGGCCAAGGGCACATGGGGCCTCTGAGAAAATGACAGCTGCTACTGGGTGCAGCATCATTGTCACACAGAGGTCACACTGACTGTTCGATGGCCTTACAAGTCATTGTCATCTCCACCTTCATGAGTTAATGTCACCAGCCAATTAATTCAGGCATGATAAATAAACTAAGACTCTAGCAGTGAGCCTTAGCATAGAAGAAACTTCCCATGAGGAGTGTAGTCTGCCCTCTATCTATGCCTTGTGTGCAGGGTGATATTAACCAGGAGTTCTGGATCTCAGGGGCCACCCAGAGCTGCTGTCCATGCACAGTGCTGTCCAGTCTGCGGAAGGAAGCACTGGCCTCCTGCCAGGTTGAGCACCCTGGAGGCAGGCCACGCCTGAGCTCTGGAGTCAGCAGTGTGGATACGGCACTAGCACCTGTCACCCTCACAGCACGACCATAGGGTTGGTGGTTCAGCCCTCACTTTCTGTTTAAAGATGGGGAGAGTCAGGGGATGTCCTGGCTGGAGAGAAAAAGGTTGTAGAGCAGGGGCCTGATTCTAGGGTCCACAGGGGGCACTGTTCTTTGGGAAAGACCCTCCCACTGGCAGGGGTGCCTGTGCCCACTGAGCAGAATCCAGCACAGCCCCAGTGCCCACTAAGCACAGAGAAGCTTTGCCTCCCTGAATGCTGGCTCTTGCCATCATCTGATACCACCAGCTTTCCTTGCCCAGTGGCCTTGGGCCTTCTCCTGTCACCTGTCAGGAGGTGAGGCATCCCTATCATCATTTAAGGGACCAGATCTAGGGCTTCTGAAGCCCTGAAGACCCCAGTCAGAACCCCTAAAACCACAATATCCAGGGGTCACTAAGGTGACCCACATGAATCTTGATGACTTCTGGGTGGCACTCCTCAGCCATCCTGGTGGTCTATGAGTGACTGAGAGGCTCTGTGGGGGTTTCCCTGGGAAAGAGGGAGAGACAGGGAGAGGCTATCTGCTCCAGGATGCTGTCTGTCCCACCCTAATAAGTATGTCATTGCTACAGCGTAAACCAGTCCCTGGGATCACTTAGAGGGCCATGGGCCACTCCAGAAAGCAGGGCACCTTACGCCCACAGACCCCCATACTCACCCCTCCTGCACAGTGAAGATGCAGCCCTGCAGCCCCTGGGGAATACAGTTACCCCTGGAGAAGGCTGCCATGCTGCCAGGAGGCCAGAGTCCTCCAATTGTGTCCTGGAGAGGAAGAACATTGGTGTCCATGGGTGAGGGGTCTCAGGAAGGAGGGGTAGGGGAGGGGCATATTCCATGAGTTCCACCTGGTAGGGACAGTCCCAGTCCTTCTGACACCAGAAAAGCTAGACTCAGGGAGGAAGGGTGACTTCTAAGGGATCTGGAAAACTCTGAGGTCAGGGTTCTGTCTCCAACCCTCCTGTAATCAAGGGTCCTCCACACCCTGTTCCCCGCTGCACTCTGACACCAGGCCCTCACAGGCAAAGCAGGCCCTGCTGCCTGCCACAGGTTCCGGTCCCTGGCACTTATGTCCACCTGTAGTCATCACCTCCTGAGAAGACCCAGCCCATGTCTCTCCTTCCTGGGTTCCCTGTGGCAGGCCCTAGCCCCCTTGAAGATGTGCAGCCCTCCCGCTTGACTCAGAGGGACCCTGTAAGGACCTTTGGAGGACTTAGTTGCTTCCCTGGGATCCATTGGTTCCCTCTTTACTCTCCAAAGCAAGCCCCAGCCATCACCCTGGATGATGTTCTCAGTCCCTCTGTGGTTCTAAGCAGAGCTCCAGGCAGTTTGCAGGACTCCTACTGAGGGTTTAGGAGGCCCCAAAGGCCAGCTTTCCAATGGGCCAGCCTCTTATGTAGCCATCTTTCCCACCCCACCAAAAGGAACCCCTCCCAAAAGGGAGGCTGAGCAGACAGGGAGCTTGTAGCAGAGCCCTGTCCTCCTACCTGTAATGAGATACATTTCCTGGGGTTAGGAATTTTCTCCTTCCACTTCCTATTCATCCTGGAAGACAACAGGAAGGTGATGGGCTCCAGAGACCTCAGGGCCAAGTGCTCAGGTGCCCATGTACAGAGGGGAAACTGAGGCTATGGGTGACTGGCAGAGTGGAACAGCAAGGGCCAGACCGCCATCCCTGGAGGTCCTTGAGGCCCGGGTTCCATTCCCCTCAGTCCACTCACTGCACTTACCTGTACCCATAGACACTGCCAAAACGGAGGGCCATGAGCAAGGCCAGGGTGACGAAGACCAGGATGAGGGCCAGTCCCCATGTGGGCAGTACTTAGCAAGAAGGAGAAGCAGTATTAGGTGGGAGGGTCAGGATGCAGGTTGGGGAGGGCTAGTGTCTCCAGACCCTCTGTGCAGGACCAGGGCTGAGGGAACACACTGTTTGTAGGTGATGGGCAGAAGGCCAGACCCACTGGGAAGAGCCCCAGTGCTCAGTGTGAGGAAGTTCCACCCTGAGCAGCAGCAGGTACCCTGTGGGGACTGGCAGAGACCAGGGAGCTTTCCAGAAGGAGGCAGCTTGGGACATGACCTCCAGGTACAGGGAGGGCAGAGGAGGAGAGGGGACGATGGGCTTACCGAGGGTCTCTGCTGACAGCATGAGCCCTCTTGGCCTGGCCCAGCAGGACCCCTTCCCCTCTCCTGAGCCATGGCCCCAGCCCTCCTTCTACCTGGGTGACTATCACTCCGGGGCTCCTCCCTCTGCAAGGCTGGCTGTGAGGGGAGCTTTAGACCAACACCCCGTGTCCTCTCCAAACGTCCCAGACCTTGCCTTGCACAGTGCATGTGTCCAGGTGGTCACCACAGGTAAGGTAAGGTCTGAATGCAGCAAGGAGGACAGGGAGGTCGGCAGGACCTAAGCATCCCACCCAACCCTCCAGACCCAGGCTACCATGGCTCTGCTGCCATCGGAACAGGAAACCCAGATTGACCAATCATGGATAATGAAACCAAGGGCCTTTTAAACAGAGGCCTAAGCTCCCACTTAAAGGAGGAATGAGGGTAAGACGGGCTCTCTGCTCTCTCAAGTCCCCATTTACAGTGTGTCTTGCACATCGAGTGTCACTTTCCAGGGTCAAGTGACACCTTAGAGAGAGGCAGGCCAGGGTGGAGTGGAGGCCGGGAGACATACCCCACTCAGTAGTCCAGGAGGCCTCCTTGCTCCACTCGCTCCAGATCCCATGGTAGCCGAGGGCGGGCATGACCCTCACCCTGGCCCAGTATGTGGTGGCAGGTTTCAGTGCTGGCAGCAGCATGCTGTGGGCCTGCTGTGGGGCCTCTGTCTTGCTGTCCTGTGGTGGCAGGTGTGCTGATGCTGAGCCACTGACCAGGTTCAGGGACTCAGATGCTCCCTGCCACACACACACACACACACACACACACACACACACACACACACACACACACAATTACACCTAAACCATTGCGCCTCCTGGCATTCTAGCAAATGGTGGGCCCAGACTCCATCTCTCCTAATAGCAATCCAAGGGCCATACCCAGGCCCAGAACACTTCCAAGTTGTCTGGGCTATAGCCTGAAACCCAAATTCTAGCTAACCCAATAACAGCTGATACTAGGTCCTCTCTGAGATGTGAGTCCAGAACCAGCCTCCTCCTGACTCCCTACTGACACACCCCCAGACCTCAGTTTCCCCATTCCCTGCCTGAATCTGAGGCTGGCAGTATGGCCCTGCTTTGAGCTCTGTAGAGCCCCAAGGTCTACAGCTAGCTCCCAGACCCCTGCTGGTGGTGTGTGAGACAGACTATGTCTGCCCTCAGCTGCAGCTCAGACCCTAATGCTGCACTTTTGGAGCAGATCCGGTTCCTGGAAGGAAATATACTGAGACCTTGGTGATAGTTGAAACTCTTCAGCCCAGTGGCTTCTACCACCCCACACTGACTGTCTCTTCTCCCTGCGCTTAAGGACAGCTCTGGGCATGGAACCATGTCACATCACCTCGCTGACATGGCTCCTTCACCAAGAGATTAGACTGTCACCTGGTAACCACACAGTTGTGGGTCCCAAGGCATGGTGGGTCCACTGGTCACCTGCTGGGTTGAATTCCCAGCAGGTGGGTCCTCCCCGAGGGGTGTCATGTCTGAGCCTACTCCCTTTCTCCCTGTCTCCAACTTTTCTGGGTCCAGGTCCTCACCTTCCAGGTGTCCAGGTCCCTCCTGTATTGGACTTGGAACATGTTTCCGTGGGTTGTTCTCCTATTATCCCAGTCCAATCTATAGCTGTCTCCATCCTTGGTCAGGTTGAGGGTTGGAGGGGGCAGCTGGACTGGAAGGAGGACAATTTCAGGAATTATCACAGTGTCCTCCCTCCAGTGGAACATTCCAAATATTCGAAGCTGGTCACAGGTGTTCTCTTTCCCACCCAGATCACTCCAGGTCCCATCCCTCTTGAGGTCTTTTTGTCCCAAATTCTATAGTCAGTCAGGTGCTCAGTGTAAGCAGAGCCCCCTGGTGGGCACTGAGAAACACTACTGTCTGAATAGGTGGTTATGAGGGGCAGCTAGGTACCTGGTTACCTACTGACTCTGAATACAAAGACTGGCTACCCTGTGCTTTTGACTCTAAAGTCACCTGGGTGCAGTGTGTCATCCCACTAAGGACACTGGTCCCAGGCCCCTTCTCCACCCTGACTTTTGCCTGTTGTGTCTTTGTGGCTGCCCATGTGCATTTGTTGACCCGAGTCAGGTTGTCAGGCTATGCTCTCCAGGGACTAGGTCCCTTGCCACCTGCCCATCTGCAGAGGGCCAGAAACCCTTGGTAACATCAGAGCATGAGGCCAGGGTGACAGAGCTACAGGTCTATTGTCCTCAAGGTGTTCAAAGTATAGCAGGGACAAAACTACAGTGACAATGTGATATTTGCCTATGTGTTGCTGCTTTGATGTGTATATGTCATGTGTTCATATATATGTGTATGCTCACATGTGTGCATTCATGTGGTGGCCAGAGGCCAATGTCCAGTGTGTCCTCTATTGCTCACCACCTTATTTTTTTTTAAGGCAGGGTCTCTTACTGAACCTGGAGCTCACTTACTTGACTAGACTGGTTGGCTTATGAGCCCCAAGCCTGTTTCTGCCTCCCTAGCCCTAGAATTACACAAGTATTACCATTGCTCACTACACCTAGCTTTTTAAAAAATTCTACTTATTTTTATGTTTATGAGTGTTTTGTTTGCATTTATGTAAGTGCACCATGTGTATGCAATGCCCGTGGAGGCCAGAAGAGGGCATCAGATCCACTGGAGCTGGAGTTAAGAACAAGTGTTAGCTGCCATGTGGGTGCTGGGAACCAAATCTAGAACCTCTGTCAGAGCCACCAGTGTTCTCAACCTCTGAGCTTAGCACTTAACCAGTGCTCGTAGCCATCTCTCCAGCCCCACCTAGCTTTTTTAAAACATGGGTGCCAGGGATGGAATTCAGGTCCTCATGCTTGTAGGGTAAAGACTTTACCAACTGAGCATCTCTTCACCCAACCCCATGGTTATTTCTTTATTTCTAATTTGTTTCAAAGGCCTTGTGGGGGGACCCTCCTTACTGTTCACATTGGTCCCAAAACCCTTCCCCACCCCAAGGAAAAGTTTTGGCAGAGGGAGTTACATCATGGCAATGAGGAAGAACAGCACCTGGGAGACCCAGAGGGCAGGAAGTTGAAGGAGCCTGCCGCAATCTGTGGCCCCTATGTAGATGTTGGCCCCACGTTTCTAAGCATTCACTCTACCGGGTGTTGTTCTGAACACAGGAGCAGAACTGACAGCCCACAGGACACTGTAGACAGTGATCAGGGAAGTAGAGGCTGGTCAGGGGACAGATCAGTATGGCAGGATGCAGTGTGTTTCAAATGGGATTTTTCAGATAAACCTTCACAGATATTTTGAGTTGTTGAAGGAAGTGAGGGAGGAAGCCAGTAGATTTCAAAAACAAGGGCTGATGCAGGCCCATAATCCCAGCTACCTGGAAACTGAGGCAGGAGGATGAAAAGTCCTGGGTGGACCTAGAATAAGTTCAAGTCTGCCTGGGAAACTTAGTGAGATATTATCTCAAATTTAAAAGCAAAATAGAGCAGAGGGTGGGGTGGGGGGAGCATTTGCCTGGCGTGCACGAAATCCTATACTCAATATTCAGCATGAGAAGAAAAAAAAAAAAAGACAAAGTATCCCAGCAGAGGGAATAGCGAGGCAAAGGCCCTGGGGCAGGAGTATGCCCAGTGGCCCCACAACATCAAATAAGAGGATGAGACAGAAGTCAGGGTTCAAGTGGGATGGCCAAGAGACCAGGGCCTGTGGGCTGTGGTGGTAGGCTCTGGGTGAAGGGAAGAATTAGATGGTATATCAACCGAATCCCAGAAGGTTCTAGAATGGGAAGAAACTTGAAGGAACATCAAGGGGGAGGAGGGAGGAAGAGAGGGAGGGATGAGGAAAGGAAGGTTGGAAAGAAGAAGTCAAGGTCAAGACGCAGAGGGATGTGCTAGCTTACCCTGGACAAAGCAGTTGACCCAAACAGACCGTGAGACTGAGACCCACTGGATGTAGCTCCAAGCTAGAGACGGCAAAATGAGCTAGGGGACGGAAAGTGGCGTTTAGGGGAAACAAGCAAGAACCAGCCTAAGGCCTCCGGTCTGAGCAACTGAAAATAGGACTGACATTTAGAACAAGGTGAAGGGAAAGGGACCGGGAGTTTGGAGGGCCAGTGAACACTCATTTTGGAGAACATATGGAAGGGGCATTGAATCACCCCGCAGTCATGTCTGAACTGCAAAGGGCACTGAGTGGTAGAGCTCATGGGCCAGGACCTGAAGACAGAGAGGAGACCCCAGAACAAGGGAAGGCAAACTTCATACTTATTGTGGTAGGTCAGTTGCACTGATTTCTTAAAGAATTTCAAAAAGATCTGAATTATATATGTTCAGTTGGGTCACTGGCCTGCATTGCGTGGAAAATGGCAAACACTAAGGTGGCACAGAAGGTCCAGGAATTTACTGTGACACAAAGGACCCCACAGTACCAGAGACCCATGCAGAGGCGGGCTAGACTCACTGTGGTTGGAGCTTGGAATGAATTTCCCTTGCTTCCGCGGCTTAACAGAGACTGTGTACCGGCTGTGTACACTGGCGTTGGACACATTTATCCCACAGTGATACCGGATGAAGAGGCCAGCCTGCTGCTCCTCCACTGGAGAGCATTCTTCCTCCCTGGGGAGCACAGTTGAGCTAAGGACAGGGCCAGGGGAGGCTCAGGCAGGCTGAGACCTCAGTTGAGTTGTGGCCCTAAGGACAAGGGAACAGGGTGGGATGGAGAGGGGACACTCACTGAGCATCAGGGCTGGAGTTGTAGAAGAGTCCAAAGACGACAGAGCCATGTAGCTGGGTCCGCACCTCCCAGGAGCAGTTGAGCATTTGGGCCCCATCGAAGAGGCACTGCAGGTTCTGAGGCTGGGCCAGGTCCCCTGGGAGCAGATGTCCCCTCAGTCACCCCACGGTCACTCATCCCCTAGCTCAGGGCAGCAGGTGACTCACAGGGAAGAGGGCCTTCAGGGCAGCAGGATCTGGTTGTGGGCACCAGCCTAAGTCTGCCTGCTGTGTAGCCCAGCGAGAGAGGACCTGGGCACCTCCATGGCATCAGGGGAAAGGAACAGTCCTTAAGTTTCAGCATGGGGATGAACACAGGGACAGAGGCCGCCCTGCACACAGCACAGGCTCATTAGCACACAGGGGCAGGAGCTGCTGCTGATATTATGACGGTCACTGTCATTAGCAGAAGATATGTGGGAGGCCTGCTGTGTAGCCCAGCGAGAGAGGACCTGGGCACCTCCATGGCATCAGGGGAAAGGAACAGTCCTTAAGTTTCAGCATGGGGATGAACACAGGGACAGAGGCCGCCCTGCACACAGCACAGGCTCATTAGCACACAGGGGCAGGAGCTGCTGCTGATATTATGACGGTCACTGTCATTAGCAGAAGATATGTGGGAGCCTGGAGCCTGGAGTGTTTGAGACAGAGTGGCTCGGAGAGAGTACTGGGGACACAGGGCTGGTGGGACGCTCTGATGACAACTTGGACAGTCACCAGAGCCACAGGAAACTACCTGAGCTCTTAAGAGGGGCACTTCCCACAGTCCCCATTACCTGGCTGGGAGTCCCAGTGAACATCAGGGCTCCACTGGCTGGGCCTTCCAGACAAATTCGAGCCTGGGGACAGCCGGGTGCGCACACGGGCCACATAGGTGTTGCTGGGCAGGAGCAGCTGTGGCTCCAGGGTGGCCCAGGAGTCGTTAGTATAGAGGTTGGCGGCATCCTACAGGGAGAAGGGTGCTGAGAGAGGAGCCTGCCAGGCC